TGGCCTTTACACCTCACCCTTGTAAACTAGTAATTCTTCCCAATTATTTTTATTCCGAAAAACCCCATCACAAGAGGGACTTTCCCTGAGAATCCATTTATACTTGCAATATAGAAACATAATGAATAACACTGATCTAAACCCTACAAAACAATTTTTTTCATGAGGCGGTGCAACATGATTTTTCATATATAGTATAGAATCTAGAACACTACCTTTGTGATGTAATCCACATTTTCTCTAGACTCAATACCAATAAAAAGAAGGGATTCTAGACTATAATGAGATCTCATTAAGTTTTCTTTTTTATGCCCAAAGGTAAGATTATTCATAAATGCTCAGGTTACAAAGTAGAAAAATTAAAAGTAATGAAAAATACAACAAAAAAACTATGTTAAGCGTGCTGAGACAAAAACAAGTAACCAGAGCATCAGGAGAAAAACAATTTGAGAAATCTCTACAACTGACACAAATTTAAGAAACACCAAAAACGTTGGCTAAATGCCTCAAACAGAGATAAAGGCAGTAAGTGTGTCTCCCTACTAAATGAGTCTAGATCAATTATGCAAAACTCGTAAGGGGTATAGAGAAAATAGGTACCATGGCACCCATTCCATGGAAATATTGAAAAAGTGAAAGTTGGAGAGGCCCAAGATTGACTCTTGTTACAAAACTCTCCCTAACTCTCCACCGTCCAAACATTTAAGGAATGGGCCCCACAGAAAGCCAAAGGTGCACAAAAGAAGTTGTAACTTGTAACTTTAGGGACATAAAATGTGTAAAAAAAAACACCCATCCATGTCGTTATAGAAACCAAAACAGTTGGAGCATGAACGTCATCGGAGAGAACTCGAAAATCGCTAGAAAATGTCTTGCCAGGAACAATAACATCGTTACAAAACAAATGGATACCCATGATAGACCCCAAAGGCACACCACACACAAATTCAATCAAGGCCCAGCAGAAATAAGAAAAAGAGTAGAGTGAAACAAATATTAGAATGAATAGAACCATAGATCTCCATAGGCATGGATCAAAACTGTCGTCTCTCAAATCTGTCCAAAGAACCTCCCCACAAACACGGATATGAAGAGAAATAAATGTAAACTCACATCCATAGATCTAAGAGAGAAACCCTCATGCAGAGTGAGAGAAAAACTCACATCCATAGATGTGAGAGAGAAACCCTCCCACCGAGAGAGAGAGAGAGAGACCCTCACGTAGAGAAAAACCCTCCCTCTGAAAGAGAGACCTTCAGTTGTAAGAGAAATGAAGCCACCCATTGATCTCGTCAAGTAAAAAAGAGATTTTATTAAACATTCAAATTTGTTTAATTGAAAGTATTACTTAAAACTATATTATAATGCCACTAATAATTACTTCTTAAGGGTCGGTTCTATAATGCCTAATTGCTGAAAACAAAAAAGCCTTTTGCTTCTCAGAAGGCTTTCATAACCTGCTCAGCTTAATAGCTCCGACAATTATGCTACTTTGGGAGCCTCTTCAGTTTTTAAACTGAAGCACTTCTCTTTTTCCATCTAAGATACTCTTTCTGTATTTGAAAGTATTAGAAGAATCACTCAATCGTTATGTGTAAACTATCTTATTATGAATGTCTAAGGAACTGAATGCTTCGACATATTGTGATCTTAATTAAATGTAACCAGTCATGCACTTGGAATTTTATAATTTATATACATAAACAATTAGCAGGCATGGAGTTTCTTCTTTGCTTAACTATTATTTCCTACTTTGTTTACTTGTAATGAAAATGACAAGTTCAGAATTGATTTCTTCTTGAATCTGAGCATTTTGCAAGTTTCTAATCCAAGATTTGTATAATTATGCCTAAGATTATGTTTTAATGTCTGTTAATTTACCTATATGATAATTGCGTTGGATTAATTAATATAATAAACAAGGGTTATTATCTGAAGCACTCCATTTTTCTGATTTTCTCTTAAACTTACCCTGACTTTTCAGTTCCTCTAAAGACCCTCCTTTTCTCAATATCTCTGAAGCACTCCTCCATTTTGCCTTTTAACATTATTCTCAAGATTACAATGATGCCCCTCTATTCGACTAAGACCGCTACCAAGCCGAGCTGAGCTGAACTTTGGCATGTCTTGGATCAACTCGACTAAAATACTAATAGGCTCAAGTTTGAGCTTGAGTTCAACTTGAAGTATATTTTTCAGCTCGAGCTCAATTTGATTAAATATTCAATGAGCTTGAATTCGACTAGGAAGCTCGAAAATAAATATATTTATATATATTTTATATGTATGCCATTTTTATAATATTCTTTATAATATAATATATATGCTATTTTTATAGTATATAATATATATTTTTATGTATGTATGTGTTAATCAAGCCAAACTTGCAAGCTTTTGAGTTAAACTTTTTATTGGTTGAACTGGAACTTGATTAGAATCAAACTCAACTCGAGCCTAATCGAATTTAATCCCGGACTATTTAATTAGAGCTCGATTCGTTTACAACCCTATATTTAACTCCTCTTTAAACCAAATTTCCAAAAGCTAGGCTCATCATTTACTTAAGTTGAACACTGTTGGTGGACAAATTGAACTATTGGTGGGTTGTGATTTGTGAGACGAGTGAGCATGACTTAAGAGAGAGAAAAAAAAACAAAGGTTATTTTTATCACAAGAAAGTTAATAGGGTAGACTAGTTGGTCAAGGTTAATTATAAAAATGACACTTGTGGATCACTTCTGTTATGTATATTATAAACAAAAATGTCTGATAGGGGGTCTCTAGTGGTAGCAAAAAAAAGTCATGCTAAGTTTAAAAGAATGTTAGAAAAGTGAAGTGGAATTTTAGAAAATAACCCTATAAACAAAGATGGCTATCTTGACCCAAATCAGGCCACTTGTCAACTAGGCTATATTTAGGTTTTGTTTGCTCTATTAGCATTATAAGTTTTAGATTCAATGGGCTATGCTGGGTGGTTGCCACTCAATCTGAACCTGCTGAACCCAAAAAGCTTGGTTTAAAAAGGAAGTTGACTAAACTGATTGTTGCTTTATGAATGGATGTAGGTGGTGTTTGGGATCAATATAGTTTTCTACAAGGCATTTTTTGAGAAAACGGGTTATAGACATTTTTCAACGCCACATCAGCACATCATTGCTAACAACAGTAGAAAAATGGGAAAACATCAAAAAAGGCATCTTCATAGATCACCGCTTTCTTAATTTTCAAGACGTGATCTGAAAAAATGTTTTTCGGAAAAACCAATCAGACAGTAAACATTTTCTCAGACTGATATGGTGCTGTGGCACCATTTTCTGAACGACATCGATCCCAAACACCTACATATAAAATGAACTGAAGTTTGAATTGGCTTGGGTTTGTACATAGCATTTCAAAACCTGGCATAATTAATAATACCGCATCCAATGGGAACTGAATTAATTACTTGACCAGAAGCAATAGGGTAAAACTCAACTTAAATTAGATCTGCATATTTCTATCCTGAGCTACAAGATGCAGAAAGCTATGATCTGTTTGAAAAAACCCAACCAATCCCCTCTCGAGTTTGACCTAATGATTAATTAGTTCAATTTGAATTAGAAATTATATTCACTGATCGATCGGTATATATGCAAAGCTAGAGCTAAAAAGTGGACTAACATCAAGATGGAAGATCACTCAATCTCATCAGCTCAATTCAAAGAAAATATGTGCCTCGACTTTTAGGGAGCATTCTTTTTTTGAATTTTGAGTCCAAGGTTCAAAGTATCGGCCCGTATCAACCGATACGTATCATTCTGGGACCCTTTCGATACACCCCTATAGTGGGTGTATTAGGGGTCTGACCGGTTCAGGGGGTGGAGGAGCTCTAAACCGCCCCCTGAACCGGTTGCAAAAAGAAAAAAAAAAGCACCAAAAGTTGTATTGATTCGCCTGATACGCTGATATGGGCATATCGATATTTTGAACCTTGTTTGAGTCAGATTTATGTGGGGATCAGGGAAAGTTTATTTTCTTGGGTATCACTTACCCATCTCCTACATGGGTAAATAACTTTCCCACATGAGGGAAAGTTGCCAACATTTAAATGGGATAAAAACATTTCTTTTAATAATGGATTTTTATGGTTAAAATGACCATTGTCTTATTTACATAGAAAATAAAAGAACATGATGCACTTATATGGGTAAACTCATTTACCCAAATAAGTAACTTACCGAAAAGCGAACAAGACCTTAAGTAGAGGTGGAGCTGGGAATGGTAATGGGATAGGATTTGAAGCACCATGACCAAACCGACTCATCACGACTTCAAATGTAAGTAGAATTTCACAAAATTCCACTACAAATTTTTTTTTTGGGAGATATTTTGGAATGTCCACTATTGTATTCCGATAAAAAAAGGTGTCCATATAAGCATGCAAAAGTTGTACTAGTTAGGGTGAAAATCATGACTTATATATCACATTTTCTATAAATAATTTCAATCAACATTTTACTACAAATGAAAAAACGACCTATTTGTCTAATTAATCATAATTGACATAATTTTTTTTTTCATTTTTAAATGTTGAATATTTCTTTATTGAATGTTAAGATAGGTTTACCAAAACAATAATAATAATAATTCTCAATGGTAATTTATGACAAGAGAAATTATATTGTTTATATTTGAACATTGTATCATACAAATATTTCAAAAATATAGACAACCTCATTTCTTAATGAAATATATAATAGGTAACATTTTATGGTTAAATTTCAGTTGAGCTGTCTTCTATAATTAACAACTAAAAAAACCCTAAAATGTCTGATGCTGGTAACTCTTCAATTGAGCTGTCGGATGCTGGTTAGTATGGTAAAACCCTAAATGGGGTTTGCTTACAGAAACGAACCGGATTTCTCGACTGGTCCAAGAAGAACATCACAATTCACAATGAATTGAAATTATTATAATAATAATAATATGGTAATAGACAGGTCCTGCGGTAGATAGGGGGAGGTCATGTCATGACATGCTCCTGCTCCTAATATATGTCCATGGAGAGAGAGAGAGAGAGAGATTGCACTGGGCAGACTTGTATGGTAGTAGCAGAGAGCGCAGTAAGCAAAGACAGAGAGTAAGCTTTCTCCGCGACTCCTCCGGCTCAGCGCAAGGGGGGTCGTAGTTTCTTTCTTCCGTCCCCGCTGAGATACACAACACAACACACAGACCCACTCTCACTCGCCCCAACCACCCACCTTTAATTTGCTTCCCCAGCTTCTCCTTTCTTTCTTCTATATATTCTCTGTACTCTTCTTTGTACTCTTCCTCTTTCTCCCTCCCTTTTGCTCTCTTTTCTCCTGTTAAAATATTCTTAATTCTTACAGTTTTCTCTGCACCTTCTCGTATTCTCATCTCTTCATCACCATCTTTCTGTGCTTGTTACCTGCCGAACTTCAGTTCCTCATATTCTTTCGCTAGTAGATATTTCCTCCTCTCGTTTTCTGCTTTTGCTTTGTGCTTTCCGGTGAATCAGAACGAATTCCGGGCCAAAAGGCAGGAGAAATTTGCGTGACACTGAAAACTCCGAAAACCCAGCTCAAGAGTTAGCGACAAGAAAAAAGGAAAAATAAAAATAGAAAACGAGAGAGAGAGAGAGAGAGAGAAGACTTTGTTGAAGTGAAGGGACTGAATAGAGGGAGAGCTAGCCCTGAAAAGGAGAGTTGAAACTGGGGAAAAAGAGGAGCGAAAATCTAATCTGAGTCATCTGGTTTCGAACTTCGAAGAGTGAGGGAGAGAAGAAAGACTGGGAGGGGCTTGAGATTGGATATAAAAGAGAGAAAAAAAGGGCGTTTGACTGAAGAAACCGAGGCGATGAAGACTTTGAGTAGAGAGAGAAAGGACTAAACAGCGTCACAGATCTCATTTTCAACTTTTTAAGTGCTTTATTTTATTGAAATCCTCTGTTCTTCTCGTAGTTTATTCGTCCAGAGATCCCCAACTTCAACTTCACAGTGAATGAAGAAAACTTTATCAAATTCAAGCAAGATCTGCTTCGGAGAGAAGTGAAGAGCAACTAAATTCTTCTAGCTCTTACTTCACCTTCACGTGAACCCTTCCGAATACTAGGGGTACTACTCCCTCGAAACCCTAAAGGTCTTTCTCTTTCTCTATTGATTCTGCTGAAACCCAGAAATCTCGTCGTCGGTTGTTGTCTCCCGCCGGCGAGAAGGAGAAAGAAAGATCTTCTGATATCTCGAGAAGATCCGAATATCTGATATTTGATCCTCTTTTATCATTCGAATCTTTTGGTTTTGTTAACTCATGCATATTCTTTACCTTTCTTGTTTTGTTTTACAGCTGCGTCCTCCAGGCTTCCAACTTAGTACTCAGCGAAGCCGATCAATTTGAAAGAAGATTTTTTTTTTTCATTATTCAATCTCGATCCGGATCTCTGTAACCAAGCGGGCGGCCTTAAATTCCATTATTAAATCATAACATATATTCAAAAGGGAAAGAAGATCGAAGCTTATCCCTAACAGCTCTACGTAATCTTCTTTTGCTTTTGTTCCCTTATTTATAAAGATTTTTTTCCCAGCTTTGTTTGTTTGACGTGATTCAGTTTTCTAAATTAAAAAACTTGATTTTTTATTTCTGCAATTTCTTCTTCTCTAAAAGAACATTGACATTTAGTTATGTATATCTGATGCAGGAATTGCACCATTTCTCTGTACAAGTAGAAGAGCCTTGGTTGTGCTGCTTCACCGCCATTGTTGCCCGTCTACAGATTGTAACTCTCTCTCTCTCTCTCTCTCTCTCTCTCTCTCTCTCTCTCTCTCTCTCTTTCTCTCATAGTTAAACTTTCAATTTTTATAAAAAAGATACCCCAAAAGGGGGAGATGTTTCAGATTTGCAACCATGAAGAAGATGACAAAACGGGTTTTAATTTACAGAAAATGGCAGTCTTTTCTGCAGAAATTTCAACTTTTGTCACTTCCCGTCCTTAAACGAGGGTTTGTTCCTGTTTTCATGGTACTGCTAAAATTTGTAACCTTTTCTTTCTTTAAATTTCCACCTTGAAACAAAATAAGAAGGACAACACATCAAAAGATGTTAAATTCTGCCATTTTTTTCTGCTTTCATTCTCAGTGTTCATTTTAGTCTTTTGCTTTTGCATTTCAGTTAACAGTTGCACCTGCAACGCAAACCAGGAAAAGGAAGGAAGAGAAGAGCAACAAAGAAGGGAAGAAATTATTACACCCAAAAGAAAATATTTATAGAGCAGTTCAGTTATGGCATCGTCGTCAAGCTCTCCCTGTGCCGCGTGTAAATTTCTCCGGCGTAAGTGTCACCCAGAGTGTGTTTTCGCGCCGTACTTCCCGCCGGACCAGCCACAGAAGTTCGCAAACGTCCACAAGGTATTCGGTGCAAGCAATGTAACGAAGCTGCTCAACGAACTCCACCCTCACCAGCGCGAGGATGCCGTGAATTCCCTGGCTTACGAGGCGGACATGCGCCTCCGAGATCCCGTCTATGGCTGTGTGGGCGTAATTTCCCTCCTCCAGCACCAACTCCGGCAACTGCAGATGGACCTCAGTTGTGCCAAGTCCGAGCTCTCCAAGTACCAGAACGTCGGCATCACAAGCCATGGACTTATCGCGGCAGCAGCTGCCGCTGCTGCTGCCAGCACCCACAACCACCCCCAGATTGGGATTGGTCTTCTGGGTGGCAGCCGCGATCACCACCAATTCTTCACTAGGGATCAACAGCAAATGATCAGGGCTTTTGATGCTAACAGTGCCTACGACGCAAGCCTCGTCGCCATGAATGTTTCGGCCAGCCTTGGGCAGTTGGGTCAGTTCCAGCAGACAAGAGCTGCTGGTGGCGACGATCTTCGGAGCGTTGGACCTTCGTAGGTTACATCTTAATCGATCATATACTTGCCCAACTTCATCAAACAGGTAGGTTATCCTCCTGTTTTTCTGTTCAGAATCTTCCTCTGCTGCTTGAAAATCTTCTCCGTTTCTTTAGCTTTTGCTGTTTAATTAGGACTACTAGATTAGTTAAAGTATTGTTTAGATATCTTACACTGAAACAATTTGTAATAGTTATTAGTTAAAATTAACTCCGGCTAACTGTTAATCACACAAGAGCTTTTGCTTCTTTTAGAGGTGAAAAATTCTAGTATAAAATTAAAAATTAATAGATAGTAGTAAAATATTCATATTGGCCGGTACCCTCTTTTTAGCATCAATATAAGCTTTCTTGATATTTTGATTTACTAACCACGTTGCTTGTTGTCAACTTGTCATGCAGGTTTCGAAGGGAGAGAGAGAGAGAGAGAGAGAGAGAGGTTGTTCAGAGTCCATGAAAGAAGTTACTAGCCATTGATGTGCTAGTTTTTTATATACATATTTATGTTCTCTCCTTAATTTCTATTGTTCTTGCCTTCTTTTTTCCTACTGTGAACTACAGTAATAGTAACAAAGATTAGCTAGTAGGTCTCTGCCATTCAAAGAAGTTTTAATTTTCTTAATTTCTTTCCTTCTTGATTTTTCTTCTCCTTAATGGATTATTATCAACTTGAGGCTTAATTAGCTCGGCCTTAATTAGGATCCCAAATCGTCCGGATCCTTCAATCAATACATTTGGCTTGATAAAATTTTGGTCGACCATGTGTTTATGATATCGAGACACTTTGTACGTAGGTCCATCGAAGGACTGAATGTATGCAAAATGCCCTTGTTGCCCATATTAACATATATAGTTTGGTCACAAGGCTCAGTTTGGAAGGAGTACAAATACAAATTAGAAGGTTTTGCACTCTACATATTTGTATTTGTACTCCTTCCAAACTGAGCCTAAAGTCCAAATCCACCTCCTTGATTAACAATGTGCACTAAGATATTCTTCCTAATCTGCAAATCAATTGCTATCTAAGTATCATTCCCTATTGGTAAGAGAATCTACTCCCTGCCCTCTCCCTCAAAGGGAAAGAAGACTTTTTTTTTTATTATTAGCAAAGGAGAAAGGTAGATCTTTGTTTTTGGTAACTCATATAAAAAAGGATAGATCAATAGTGATATGAGGAAACCCTATTTTTAACAAATGCTACAGATCAGTTGTGAAAATCACAAAGACCCCATATTTGTAAAAAATAAGGATTTACTACTTTTAAGGGAATTTTGGTCCTAAAGAGTAGGCTTTTACTATTAACTAGGGCCATGCCCCATTTATGAAAAGAGGAAATGTCACCAGATCAATTTGGGCAATTAATGCACTGATCAAATGAAATAAACAATATGTTTTTTCTTTCTTTTAATTTTTATGGTCTAATAAGCTTCTAAAATATTCCTAGAAACATGTGAAAATCGTAAGCTTGAATATGATCTTGATGATGCCAGTTTTATATATCCATTGGTGCATGATTCCACAATCAAAGTGCCAAAAAAAAAAAAGAAGAAAAGAAAAGAAAAAAACTTAATTGGTAAAATAACTAATATTAATAATTTCCCAAAAAAATCTGTTTGAAAAGACAAAAACACCCTTGACATGGATAAATATTCTTATATCCCAACAAGTGTTCAATGAATAGGTCGAAGACAGATATTGTTTATGTATCCACATTCTGCCATTTTCCTCCCAGTTTCTCTCTAGATTGTATTAATTAAACTAATTAAGTTAGAAAAAGACACAATAGAGGAATTTTTTTTCTTACATAACTTCAGCTGATCATGGAAAGACGAAACCTACAGCAGATGAAGAAACTGTCCACCTTTTGATCTTTTGTAGTAAGACTTTTAATTTCCTGTATCATTTAACAAATTAAAGGGAAAATAACGAAAGATGTATTGATCTCATGGATAATAAGAAGTAAAGTGGATAAACACCAAGCTAATGATGGTAATTAAATTGCTGATTGAATAATGGAAAAGTTGCATCATGAATGCATCATAGATTCAATAGAATAACACAACTGATTCCTAAATCAATCTCATTTTTGAATCATAACGAATGGCGCCATGGATGCCAAAATCTCTCTCTCTCTCAACAATAATTCATCAGGAGAAAGATTTTGCAGTTATTCAATCTGGATAAAAAAATCTCTCACTAAAAACTAAAACAAGGACACATTCTTCTGAACTTGTATATTTATACAGTTATCAATCTGCAAAACTTAGTTTTCCTCCTATTAATTCCTACCCTTAACACCCCCTCTCTCCAAAACACATTCCATCACTTGATAGATCTCTGTGGCTTTCAAACTTTGTAGCATTTCCAGAAGGAGAAAACCCAACAAGACAAAAAAAGCAATAGTCTAGTGATGAGATGATGGGTGAAAATTAAAGGCAGGTAAACCCCCCCGAATCGTTATTCCCGCCATCCCATCCACCCCAACAAAAGGTGAAAGGCCGTTGCAGAGAAGAAACGTCACAGAGAGAGAGAGAGAGAGAGAGCATTAAACACCCTAGAATGCACAATCAGGGTCCAACGCCGATAGCAGAAGCACAGAAAAGATGGAGAGAAGAAATAAATACTTCTCTCATTTCTCATTCCAACGTAGTCAAAACCATGGCATGGCAATGATGACGTACTTGAGCAATGATGGCTCCATCCTTAAATGCATGCCATTGTCTTACTAACAAATGGGGCCAGATGTGGGTCATCCATCCATGGCTCATTCCAGAATGTACAAGGATGCACCATCTCACCGCTAGCTTCACAGTCTCTGAGATGATGATCATGTTGTTTTAATTCTTCTTACACCCTGTGGGGACTGGGGATGCAATAAGCAACTCACCAAGCAAGGCTCTTACTCTCTCTCATAAGGCAGCTATACGACAACTCTCATCTTACCGACAAAATGCAATTTCTTTTTCTCTTTTTTTCATCATCATTTCACTATAAAATTTCCATTTCCAGTCTCTTACTTACTGTTAATCTTTGAAAGCTTCTGTCATGTGGATATATAACTTGGGTTAGTCAAAGATTTAGTGCAGTTTCATCACTTTACATGTCAACAGAAATGAATGGATTAGCACTACACAACAACAGGATTTTCTATTGGCAAACTTCAAATCAACCCCATGTTCATTTGGAAACACAGAGGGAAAGGTTTATAATTATACCCATTTGATCTTGTATATATTATGGTTTGATATATATGCACCCATCACCTAAAATCATCAGCATCTAGGGTTTGATCAATATATGAACGGTCCAGATTCGTCAGGTCATCCATCCAACCCAGGTGGGAGGATTGGATTGTGATGTCACCTCCATCAACTATCAAGACTTGGAATAGCTGTTTTTTCCCCATATACGTAAACCCTAGCTGAGGGTTAGCCGGCCGGAGGGTGTACCGTTGTGGGTGCAGGGTGCCATGAAATGAAAGGGACGGTTGTAAAGGTAGGGGGATATCCCGACACAAGCACGCCTTACGGGGCAAATTTGTGAAGCAAAAGTAGCATTTATTTCGGGTGTCTCTGACCCCACAAGCCCTAAACAAACAAAATTAAAAGATGTGTGTATAATTCTTGAGTGGATATATTCAATGCTTGCATTTATTGGATAGTGCCAACACTATGAGACCTCTCCCTCTCTCTCTCTCTCTCTCTCTCTAACAAATTCATCAACAAGTAAAAAATAAAATCCCCACCTTCTTCACTCTTGACCTTTCTTCTATTCCTGTTTAATTTGAAGCTTTTACAGAGAAACAAGAACATCTCTTGCTTTTTCTTCTATACCCCCTTAAATACATGCCCTTTGTCTCCCTCTATGAATAACTCCACCAACCCTCCATTCAGTTTTCAATTCGGTTGACACCCAGCTCACATCTCAAACTGGGTTAATTGGGAAATGCGCTTATAAAGTGAAGAAAGTTGGGATTCACTGTTGCTCTTCAGCCAATTTGACTGTATCGATCATTGCTTCTGCAATTCTAACAAAAAATATATATGTAAGCTTGGAAGTCCACGATTCATCAACTTAGACCTCTCAAGGGGGTTGCAGTCATGAGTCTCTACCTCTTGAGTATCCTATAAAATTAGGTCAAGTAGGAGGAGTTTTAGGTATAATTATGATCATCTCTTGGGCAAGTTGGTACGAGCTGGGGTTACCTCCATTTGTGGTGTCTTGGGATCTGAGTCCCACCAGTGGTGTTGTTGGTTTTCTACTTCCCAGTAGCTGGATTGACTTGTCACGAAACAAAATGGATGGGGCGGGGGGATTCCAAAACCTGTTGGACTCATAAATGTACACCAGTCCTTAGTTTTGTACACCACTCTTTGGATCCTTGTAGCAAATTTATGTCAATTTGGTGAGCTCTAACGAGTGATAACTTACATTATTCTTATATGCAATGCACGCTTAGACAATAAACCTTTCAGTACCCACCTTGAATTTGGCCATAAATCAAATGATTTAGGCCATGTTTTGAAGTGCTTTAAAAAGTGTTTACTTGAAATAAGTGTTTATTTGGATTAGGATCATATCATTAAATATTTAATATTTATTGATGCTTGAGAAATAAGTTCGAAATAAGTATTTATTTTAAAAATAAGGATTTATTTTTTAAATCCAAATTGCTAATTTTTTTTTACAAAACAAATTGTTATTGTCTTTAAGTGCTTATACAATAAGTATTTATTCAAAATTTTCTTTCAAGATTATCCCTATTAGAATATTAAAATACCACTTATAAAATTATCCTAGTTGAATTTTATAAAAGTACTTTTGTAAAATTATTTTTACAAAAGTGACTTTATTAAGGTGCTTTCATAAAAGTACTTTCGCAAAAGTGCTTTCATAGAAATACTTTAACAAAAGTATTTTTGTTAAAGTAATTTAACAAAAGTATTTTCATAAGGGTATATTTGAAATTTTGAAAGAAAATGAATGACAAAATAGTCACAAACGCTTATTAGAGAAAAAAGACTACCAAATGCCCAATATAAAATAAGTATTTATTTTTTAAAATAAACACTTGAAAAAGTTGGGTGCCAAATACAAATAAGTGCTTATTCAAATAAGCACTTGTTTTTTATCACTTATTTTTAACATAAGCACTTCCAAACATGGCCTTAGGTTGTTAGTAGTTACGTTGTTGTTTTCAGGCCTATCACCCATTCAAGATAGGCCTGTCAATGATACCCAAAAATCCGAGGCCCGATCTGACTATCTTGGATTCAGATGATGTATATATGTAATTGGATTGGATTCGGATGTTATAATCAACATCCGATTAATAATCGGATTTTATTCAGATTTGACCCAATCTGATCCAATTAAAATCCAAATCTGATATAATATTTATTAATTTCAATATATAAGTTTAATATAATTATATTTAAAATTCTAAAAATATATTCTATATATTATATTATATGTGAATTATGTATATAATAAATTTAGTATGTTATATTTATATTAATTTATTATATATAAAGGTTAAAAATAAATAAATTTTAAATTTTCTAGTATTATAGAAATTTTATAGCGGAATATGATTA